TTTTTTTTTTTTGAGGGGGGAAAATCATCCAATGACTTCTCCCGCCCGGGTGAGGCGGGAGGGAGTGTCAGACTCTTACTGACTAAAAACCACCCCGTTCCTACTCCTGCACTTCGAGCCGGAGCCCCGGCAACCCGTTAAGTCTTCCGCGGCTCCGTATCGGCGTCAGCCCTGTTAGGCCCCATCTGTGGTGGTCTGATGGCTCCTTGAGGCGCGCGCGGAACGCGACGCGCCGTACGCTCGGGCCTGGTTCTGGTCGGGCGGCGAGTCACCCGTGCTCGCCGTCCGCAGGCCCGTGCTTACGGTGGCCGGAGATCGTCTCGCGATCCCCGACGCCCGGAGTGTCCCTCGCGACGGCCGGGTCGTGAGGAGGTGCCCTGAAGACACCTAGGTCACAGATTACACTCCTTAGCAGTTTGCACAAGCAAGCTTGATGCGATGCGCTTCGTGTGTGTGGTTTTGTTCAGTAGTAACAGTAAAAATCCCAGCTACTCTGAGCGGTAATTTTATTATTAGAGTCCACCGAAATAAAAGTCCTATGAGTATGCATTTTTTTACTGGCGAGTAAAACTCGTTCTGGCCACATGGCCCACATGTGAGGAAAGCCCTGTTTATTCAGCTGGAGTGGCATTAAAAGAAATACAGTATAGTGATATACTATGTGGCAAATGTAGAATATTTTAATCCAATACGGCTGCAGCAATTTTGATACATTTTCATTTTCAATATTTGTTTAGGACGCAAATAATTTTTTAAATTTAGTTACGCTGGATCTTAGATGAAACTTATAACAAGCTTTAATATTTTATTTTTCTTAGAGACTCTACATTGTTCTTCCTGCGTGAAATGAAACGTATGAAGCTTTCTTTTTGAAGTTTTTTTGTTTTGCTACAGCAGCGCCATTTTGATTGTCATCGTATAAATTTTTTACTAAATTGGTAGAAAACATCAAAAGTTTTCGCACTTACAGGAAAAATAGAACTTTACTGTGTAAATTAAAGAAGTGTTCTTTCTCTTTTTTTGCATCGGACTAAAGATGTATTATTTTATAATATTGAAAAATTTTTACCTATCTTGGCTTTCACTGAAGATCTTGAATAGCAAGATTCGACTTTAGAACTGAGGACTGTAAAATAAAACATTGTTAGTGATACTGTTTTAGTTCACAAAAATCTGATAATTTGTAGAGTTTTGCAGGTAAAAATACTCCATGACATTTTTTCACCTTTGGATTTTCCTGCTGTGTTCCAATCCAACGTTGAACTAAAACACATCTGCCCGTGATACTTACAGCAGAGTAAATATATTAGTCACCTTCGCAATTTCTATGAGTTTCTTGTCGATATTCAGCAAAAATCGAGCACTAGCGCTCTCTGATACATTTTAATTTGCAACATTTATGTCGTCTCCTGAGTGTAAATATTACGGTAATTCTCTTATTTATAGAGGAGTCTAAAAGCAGCAGCAGTGAACTCTTACTAGCTGTTGATGGTTTTATGAGTGATGAAAAAATAATTGAAATCTTATTAGGTATCAGGTTTAGTTCTTAAGCTTGAAACCATTAATCATACCAACGTGTTACTGAAAACCCAATCAAAACCTACCATGGAAGGCTCTATTGAACAGTAGAAATGATAGCAAAATCCCTGGCAACCCCACTCTCTTTCATTCAACTTTTCTAAGCTTTTCGCCCTTCGCGTTTGGTATTCGCTATTCGCCACTTTGCCCGCTGTATTTTGTAAAACTATCGTCATTGTTCTATATTGTATAAACTGAAAATATTTAATTACTCGTCGGTTTCCGTCGCGAGTGATGCCTAGTGTCCGTTTGATTTCGTTTCATAAACAAAAATACAATCGTTTTTATCCTGTGTTGTCTCATGTGATTACAAATGTAAATAATTAATTAAAATTATCGCACAAAATGGACGTGAAAGGTTCTAATCGTGGGTGTAAAGAGTGATTACTTTGTTATAGTTGTGTTCGCAAATATTTTGTGAGTGTGATAGTGTATTTTTTTGAAGGATTTTGACATTCCCGTCTTCAGGCTAACTGTGGTGTCGTGCAAGTAAGTTTGTTAATTCATTGTTTATATACGAAGAATTGATATAGTCTTGTCGGAGCCTACATCTGTTTGCAATATGTGAGTTTAGTGAGTCACTCATCGGCAAAAAACGTTATATATTATGTCTTATTTTCTGTAAGTGAATATTTTAATGTTGGTGTTCAATTAGCGTCAATTACGTTGATTCAGCGGTTGCGAGAGCATTCATTTGTTTTATTTAGGCTTTATTTTTAGCCTGCATCGATGTTTTGTCTTTCTACTGAACTGTTTGGTTTATTGTGAGCGTAAAACTCTTGGCAGTGTTGGGTAGATTCTATAAAATTCTTTCCGTAAATTTATTTTACTGTTAATCGCGTGTTGGGATAATTTAAATTTAAAACTTTTTACAACTTTTTGAGGCAGTTATTACACACATTTTTAGACATCCAAGTACATAATTATTAATTATAAAAAATTGCCCATGTGTAATTCCTGACCATAATCTAATCCTGTTCTACATTTCATCACAATCCCTTCAGCAGCTTTGACATGTTTCAAAAATAAACATACACACGAACTTTTGCATTTATAATAAAACTAAGATTTCATATGATAGTAAAATACGAATATGTAAGTACTTTAAACTTTAAAAATCTAAAATCTGTGAATCACAAATTGACTCAGTGCATTCAGATATTATCTGTAACATAAAAATATATTTTTAGGAGACATTTTAAGTAATATAATATGCTTTTTAACATTTGCAACCTACTGCAAACCTTATTAAGTATAAAATATGATTCTAATTAGCCATTTGAGTCTGAAACTGCCATTAACATGATCATAAAATTTCAATATTATATATTTTAATGCCCATGTGTATGTAATTAAATTTTTATTGTTGCAATAAGTAAAAATATCTTTAACTCATTATGCAAATAATATGAGATAATCTGCATGTGTACGTACCTGAAATTGTTGGATTGGAAAAGATATACTTACATAGAATGTAAATAAACATAAGTAAGACTTAACTCGAGACACAAAAAACTCTCGGCATTTGACAGTTTAAGAACAGTACATTTTTGTAGCTATGTAACATTAAACCTAAGTGAAAGAATTTGATTTAAATTATTCTTTTATAAACTATGTTTAAAAAACCCAACTTCAACCCGTTCTGTATTTAAGTCATAAGTGTAAAAACACTTTTCTAAAAACCAGATCAAAATTGGTTCTGTCAATTGTAAGATAATTACGCACAAACATACATACAGGTCAAACTCAGACTCTTCTTTTCTTTTTCTTTTTTCTGTTAAATAGTACTGTACTTTCATACATGAGCTACCTAAATATATTATGGGGATGGATAAATATGTTTTAAGTGTGGGAGAGTCATGCTTCGGCACAAATGAGCCGGCTCGACCGGAGTGATACCACAGCCTCAACTGTAGGCTCAATTTCCCCCCCCCCCCCTTCCCCAATCCCTGAATCCCTAACAATCCTCAAATTCCTAATCCAAAAAGGCCAGTCCACTTGTAACTGGTGTTCCAGGTTTCCATGGACGGTGCCGATTGCTTACCATCAGGTGATCCGAACGCTTGTTTACCAGCTTTTCATAAAATATTAATTATTAACAATGGAAAGATATTGTTTTTTTTTTTATATAACTGTGAGATCCAATCTCAAGCAGTAAAACCAAACAAAGGGTTAAAAAAGTAAAAATAGAAATAAAGACTTTCTCTCACAATTTCATCACTTCTGTCATAATCATTGTGTAAATTACAATAAATTGACGGCAACTATGTGACAGTTAATTAGCTTTATATTTAACTGAGTGAAAGTGTTAATGAAATAAAAGTCTTGTTTTAAACTGTAAAACACCAAGCGGTCACCGGTGACCGCAACCTATTGTTCTATAATTGTGTCTATAATGACGGTACTCGACGAGTTAATAGCTGAACTACAAAAATATTATTTGACAGATTGTTATCTATAGCTGTAAAAAAGAAGTATGGTTGAATTGAGAACCTCCTCCTTTTTACAATTACAGGTTGTTGTTTTTACACTAATAAAAAATTTACTAGGAACATTAGCCTGCAGCAACTGCCATTGTCATGTGTCTTTATTTTTATTTAATTTTCTTTTAATTACTTTGCCCTGCACTAGAATTTTCTCCTGTGCCATGAGTTAAAAACATACAAGTTCACATACACATGACACCCAGACCCGAAACAGAGGTATTCCGTGCGGTAATGGAACCCGCTAAGGGTCGCGCAGTAGACGATTGCCCAGCCACAGGACCAACCGTGCACTCAGCACTTTGCAATAGCTATATAAAATATTTTTCTCATGAAATAAATTGAACTATTGATTAACTATAGACAGGTATGAAATGCAAACAACCAATGAAAACAAGGAAGTGAAGTAATATTATGTAAATTATCACTTTGTTGTCATTGTTTACACTGAAAAACACAAACCATTTAATAAATTAACCGTAAATGATAATAGTGATGTCGTGGTGGCCCGGAGGTTTAAGACGCCCACTTCTCATGCATGAGGGTGCGGGTTCGAAACCTACCAACGGCAAGTACCAATGTGACTTTTTCCGAGTTATATGTACTTTCTAAGATTATTTAGACACCACTGACAAACGGTGAAGGAAAAACATCGTGAAACCTGGACTTATAATTTCTATAAGTTTGAAATCGCCAACCCGCATTGAGCAAGCGTGGTGATTAACGCTCTAACCTTCTCCGTGTGAGAAGAGGCTTTGCTCAGCAGTGGGCATTTATAAGCTGTTGATGATGATGATGATGATGATAATTACGATTAAACATTACCTCTATCTATTATTATAGTTGGTGTTAATAAAGCTAGAAAATTATAAAATCCTCACACGACTTCGTCCGTTTGAAATTTCATCCCGATCCCTTCAGCCATTTTGATTTTGACGTGATTTAGAAACATACACAAACTTTGACATTTGTAATATTAGTAAGTAAGATTGATGCCATTAGACCAAAAACTATTAATCTAAAAATGAGACTCCGTTGCCAAAAAGAAAAAAAAAAATTAATCTAACAATGAACCCATGAACTCACCATAACACGCAGACCTTGAAAGCATTGTTCAAGGTTCGAGTGCCGGCTAATCGCTCGCAATAACACCGATATCGTTGATAAATGACAGCCGCGACGACATATCGATAAGAGGTCATTGCCATGGGTATCGCATTCCGAAGTGATAAGAGTGTAGTGTAAACAACATTATAGAGGGGGCCTTGTGCTTCTGGCTGGGGTAAGTAGAAAGGGTATTGGCATGGTAATTGTTAGTGTAGCTTGAGATAAGGGCAGGGAGAAGAAGAGCTGATAAACTAAGTATCACATATTTAAATAACTAGGTTTACACTTGAAATTAAATATAACGAACATCACGCCTTTTATCTCCGATGGAGTAGGCAGAGGTCCACATTACGGCAGTTAATGCCACTGTACAATGTAACACCCACTTTTCACTATTTTTGTTATGAGTCCCATGTACCTAATAGGGGGTGAGCCTATTGACATAATATATCGGGCACAGTTCCAGACTCCGTGCTACTACTGAGAATTGGAACGAAAACCCAGTAAGTAATACTTTTCCTGGCCCGGGAATCGAACCCAAGAACCCTTGCGGCCAACGTGGCAGAAAACTATTACGGGATTTAGAAGTGAGCGTTTTAGGTATTTATAGTAGTAGGTAGTTTAGGTAGTTACCAGTTTCAATGACTTTTCTATTTGTAGATTTTCTAAGTGGAATAACTATTCGTCAAAAACGTTTTTGTTAATTAATTATTAACAGCGTTTCTGTAAATAAACTAATTCATATTTGTAGTACTTAGGTATTATTAATTTATAGCGACACACGTCCACCATAACATCTGTTACTAATCCTGATTTACGATGAATGTGTCGTATTTAACTTTCATACAAGCCTTACTCTAATAATAGAAACGAACTAACTAAAAAAAATGTAACCAATTTAACAAAAGTTCGGTAGTTACATGCTAAGAAATAACAATTACTTTAATTGTGCCCGGTATATGGCAATAGGCCCCGTAACATAAATAGTGAAAAGTGGGTGTTACATTGTACAGTGGCATAATGTGCACCTCTGCCTACCACTTCGGGGATAAAAGGCGTGATGTTATGTTATGTAAATTATAACAATTACCTAAGTAGGACATCTTTCTATTTTGTTACGTCATCAACCAACCTTATATCGCGCAGAAAACTGACCTTTAAATCTTGCTCCGAAAAGGCTTAAAACGAACCCCTATCTACTAGAAATACGATAGGATTACCAAGGATACACCGCAGAAGCCGAAGGTCAAAGGATACTAAAACACAGCAAGCCATAGATAACAAAATTAGGCAGCACTTTTACGATCCAATAAGCTTTGCCGATATTGCCAGCTTAAGCGCTGTCCTTGTAATTTTGAATTAATTTGCTTTCGGCCCAAATGTTCAGGACAAGTGAGCGTGTTTGTGTAACCTGGATAAACGGTTGGATAAAGTATAGGGTAGAGATGCCTAATTTTTATTTTAAACTGTGACAGCTTAGTGCTCTGGTAGATTATTTTAAATCATTAGACACGTATTTTTTATTTTCTTACAGAAACGAATACTTTCGACGACATATTAATTTGAAATGTCGCGTGACGTCACTTCTATGTACATTTTATACGTAGAAATGACGTTTTAGCCCCCACTCCTAAACTTTGATTCGTTTCATCTAAGTATCATTTTATTATACACCAAAATAAAAAAATACGTGGCTAATATTTTTTTATTACCTAACTGACGGACTAATTAGATTTTTAATTTTCATACACTATCATCATCCTAATTCTTGCGTTGTTGGAAAAATTAGGAGTCTAGGAAATATATCCGTATGACTGACATTTGATTTTATGCTTCGAAATGGGATGCGGGATATTGGCTACAAAGTTCGTGTTTCAAGTTGTGTGAAGCCTCAAAGAG